TCTGTTTTCATTTTAGATCGTTTCTATTGCTTGTTTTCAAGTATGTTAATCTTCTGCAAAGTCTAAGAAGCTATGAATTACATCTAGTGTGTTTTTCATCTCACACATTGTAGTTTTTGTGTCTAAAAGTTTTATCGGAACTTTTCATATTTTCCACGTCTCAGTCTTTCCTATAACTGGATAAAGGATATACAGGAGCTCTCTGCATTAACTTTGCAACTCTTCTGTAAATCTAAAACTATTTTTAATAAAAAGGTTTAAAAAAGAAAAAAATCAAAGCAACCAAAAGGAAACAGGAACTAGCTTGAGGGGCAGCCACTGGACAAATGTGGGGCAACTTGAGTACCAAAATAATTGAGTACAGTAATGAATTATAAATCATTAAAAACATAGAAATTCATGAGTCCATACTGATAACAGACAGATAAGCAAGAAGGAAGGTCTCTTGCTTACTGTATAATGCCAAAAACCAGCTTGGCATTTTAGGAATGCCAAGAGTTTAGAAAGGAGGAATCACTGAAATTAGAAATCATTATTTTGAAATCATTACGGTAAACACCGGGTCAGATAAGAATCATGAATGGACACTAGATCTAGCTGTCATGGATTGAACTGTGTCCCCCAAAAATATGTGTATCAATTTGGCTAGGCCATGATTCCCAGTATTGTGCGATTTCTACCACTTTGTCAACTGATGTGATTTTCCTGTATGTTGTAAATCCTATCAATTCAATGTAATGAGATGGATTAGTGGCAGTTATGTTGATGAGATCTACGAGATCAGATTGTGTCTTAAGCCAATCTCTTTTGAGGTATAAAGAGAGAAGCGAGCAGAGAGACATGGGGACCTCATACCACCAAGAAAGCAGCACCAGGAGCAGAGTGCGTCCTTTGGACCCAGGGTCCCTGAGCCTGAGATGCTCCTCCACCAGGGGAAGATTGATGACAAGGATCTTCCCTTAGAGCCCACAGACAGAGAAAGCCTTCCCCTGAAGCTGATGCCCTGAATTCGGATTTCTAGCCTACTAGACTGCGAGAGAATAGTTTTCTCTTTGTTAAAGGCATCCACTTGTGGTATTTCAGTTATAGAAGCACTAGAAGACTAAGACACTGGGGATAAATCCGATGAGGAGCAGAGTATTTGTGTGGTCTTTAAAGTGTCTCTCCATAGGTTGCTTATCATTTGCAAAGGAAGAAAATAAAAACAGCAATATGATGGAGAAATTGGACATCTTGACTGCTGATCAAAACTGGTATCACCTATGAGAGACAGATGGACACTGTGAGCCTGCAGACGAGGTAACCTGAGAAGGACGTATCATCTAGACACTATTCTGGCCAACAGCGTGTAACCTCAATGTAATCACAGAGAAACATTACGCAAATGAGGAATGTTCTAAAAAAAATAAATAAATACCAAACAGTGAGGAGGGATGCTATATTATTCAAAAAATACCAATGCCATAAAGGCAAAGAAAGACCAGAAACGTTACAGGTGTCAGGAGGCTAAAGAGACACAACGCCAAAGACTGAATCCTGTACTAAAGAAGAAAAAATGCCACTAAGGACATTCGATCTATGGACGATAAATTAAAATACAGTGTCAATATGAAATTACAAAGGTGATATAACTATACCGTGGTTATATACAGTACAGACAGAGGAGGAGTTAGTGGTAGAAAAGTGCAAATGAAAAAGAAAATGGGGTAAAACAGTAACAATACGTGAATCTAGGTAAAGGCTATTATAGCTGTTGCCTGTACTATTTCTGTTTGCAACTTTTTAAAATTATTTATTTATTTTTATTGTACTTCAGGTGAAGGCTTATAGAAGAAATAGTTTCTCATGAAACAGTAGTACACATTGCTTTATGACATTG